CAATACTTAGTAAATCTGTTGTCAGACTATAAACAAATAAAATTTATAAAATTCTAAAGGGAGCTTACATCAATAGATATAAACAATTCACCAAAGTTTCATAAGAATTGCTGAAAGCATTTTTGAGTAATGGTCTGAAAACTGGAAAATCCTCCCTTTTTTAATGAATAAAACCCCATTACTCAGAAATGTAAAATCTAAAATTTATAAAATTCTAAATGGAGCTAACATCAGTAGATATCAACAATTCATCAAAGTTTCATGAGAACTGCTGAAAGCATTTTTGAGTTATTGTCTGAAAACTAGAAAATCCCCCTTTTTTATGAATAAAACCCTGTAACTTGGAAACGTAAAATCTAAAATTTATAAAAATCAAAAGGGAGCTCATGTCAATAGATATAAACAATTAATCAAAATTTCTTGCAAGTTGGTGAAAGCATTCTTGAGTTATTGTCCGAAAAAACTGGAAAATCCCCCTTTTTTTAATGAATAAAACCCCATAACTCAAAAACGTAAAATTTAAAATTTATAAAAAACGAAAGGGAGCTCACGTCAATAGATATAAACAATTCACCAAAGTTTTATGCAAATTGGTTAAAAAGTTTTTGAGTTAATGTCCGACATGTTGACGACGGACGGACAGACGGATAGACAGACGGACAGACGGACAACGGTATACCATAATACGTCCCGTAAACGGGCGTATAAAAACTGGAAAATCCCCCCTTTTTTAATGAATAAAACCCCATAACTTAGAAACGTAAAATCAAAAATTTATAAAATTTTAAAGGGAGCTTACATCAATAGATATAAACAATTCACCAAAGTTTCATAAGAACTGCTGAAAGCATTTTTTGAGTTTTTGTCCGAAAACTGGAAAATCCCCCTTTTTTTATGAATAAAACCCTGCAACTCGGAAACGTAAAATTTATTAAAATTTATAAAAATCAAAAGGGAGCTCATGTCAATAGATATAAACAATTTACCACAATTTCTTGCAAGTTGGTGAAAGCATTCTTGAGTTATTGTCCGAAAACTGGAAAATCCCCCTTTTTTTAATGAATAAAACCCCATAACTCGGAAATGCAAAATCTAAAATTTATAAAAAACGAAAGGGAGCTCACGTCAATAGATATAAACAATTCACCAAAGTTTTATGCAAATTGGTTAAAGCATTTTTGAGTTTATGTCCGACATGTTGACGACGGACGGACGGACGGACAGACGGACAACGGTATACCATAATACGTCCCGTAAACGGGTGTATAAAAATGCTTATTTGGGCCCCTTTTTGGCCCCTAATTCCTAAACTGTTAGGACCATAACCCCCAAAATCAATCCCAACCTTCCTTTTGTGGATATAAACCTTGTGTTTAAATTTCATAGATTTCTATTTACATATACTAAAGTTATTGTCCGGAAACCAAATGCCTTCGGACGACGACGACCAATAAACGACCGCAAAATTTTTTGCGGTCGTATAAAAACAAACTAAGCAGATGTCTCACCTGGAATTCTTCTTTTTGTAAAAATTTATTTTGTCCTAAAGCGTGTTAAAAGCAATATAATTTCTGGTGTTGACGCTTTACATCGAAATCGTATCTTTGACGTCACACTATCAAGGTTCCAAAAACGAGTACAATGGTTCGCGAAATTTTCGAGTTATGATATTTTTAACCCGAAATCATGTGTCTTCAATTTAGTATCTGTTAATTGTGCACTCCTAAAGTGAGAAGGAGATCAAAACTATGTTTTGGTCAACTCCTTCGTCACTGTAGGGAAATGAATTTAGCTTAAAACTTGTCCCCTATGGCCCGGTCAATAAGTTGCAAGGATTCCTGAACGTGCAGACAACATGGGACTCTCCCCACACGAGGCTTCGTCGGATTGTAGAAGCTCCCTACACGAGGCTTCGTCGGATTGTAGAAGCATATATATATATATATATATGTGTGTGTGAGACTATATTTCCATATTTTATACCGTTTCAGTTCACCAATGTTTTTTTTTTCTGTACGAGATGTAACAAGTGTATTCATATTGTTTGTACCGACATGCCTGTGAAGTTATAGAAACTTTAATATTCTATTTAATCCATGTCAATAACCTGACAAATACTTCGACTGATTTTCAACAGTGAAGTCATTACCGTTCCTTGATGCTGTAAGCACTTATCATTTCAATAAAATATATGCCGTCTCGGTTTTGGACTCTCGCTAACATTTCCTGTTACTTATGTTAATCTTCTAATGTTGGTCATTTTTCGATTATTTGCAAAGACATTGTCAGTTCGTTTTCGACTAATGAGTTATGAATATTACTTTGATATCTTTCGCCTCTCAGCTTGGACGAAAGAAAAACACTGAAACGTTATCCATGTATAAGACATGACTTAAATATTTTCAGGTTTACATGATTTTAATGATTTCAGCAAAATTGGATTGTACATTGCAACAAGCTTATAACCTTAAATTGATTGACACTTTGACAGCAGATTTATGTTTTAATTTTCCGGTCCTTTAGTTCACCTTCCGGTCACATCCTTCCGACTGACATGGAGTCAAGCGTTTCAGTCATGAGGTACTGCTCCACTAATCGTTCCGCTGAAGGTTTAGGATGTTCTCTTTATGTAATATACGGATTACGGCATCTGGTTTACCATTCAATACATCTTGTAAACTTATGGCTTAAAATTTAGTCATAAAAATCACTTAACACACGGTATTTTTGATATTTTTAAGCCCCAATATGTTACAGAAGATAATTTTATTTCTTATCTACGTGTTTTGACTAAATATTTGCTATGCCATAATAATCTCGCTGCATATAATAGTATATAAAAACGGACCGATAGTAAATCAAATCATGTCAATATAATATTTCCATGATCAAATCAACTAGATTAGACTTCTTATCATAGGTACCCGAGATATATTATTGCTACTACCAGATAAGTGATATTACTATAGAAAATACGTATATGTATACATGGATGAAACTTACAATAAATAAGATCCTTTTTTACGTATTTCTTCAGAAAACATTTATTGCTTAGATTGAGTCTTCAATCATGTCAATTCTCTTCAACTTCGTACTTTATTTTGTATTTTTAACTTTTTTATTAGAGAGCCACTAATGAGTCTTTTCGTCTCGAAAAGCGCGTCTGGCGTACACAAATTTAATCCTGGTATCTATGATGAGATTATTGACCTCTACCACTAAAAATACGTTGTACATTTATCAACACTTGCATACTAATTATCACTGAGAACAGTTAAATTTATTGGGGGTCTATTATTAATACCGAAAGCAAACGTGACTTAAATCAATATATCGCTTGAATGTAGTCTATAAAAGAATAAAATTCATAACTTCCGATTAAGTACCATCTAGAACATGTAGAACGGCAACAATTTGAGATACCCTATAAGCATGACATGTATGATCACTCAAATGTTACGAAATAAAACTGCTACAATAAATAATACATGTATATACATGTAATAGAAAAACAAAAGATATGGGGTATCCATCAATGAGACAAAATCAGTATATGCACAGCAAAAAAAAAAAAAACCACACAAAAAGCACAGGAACAGCGCATATGCCTATATGTAGCTGCTTGAAAACCTTTCGTTTGCCGAATTTTTCGGGTTCATTTAATATCGAATGTTAAAAAAGAACATGGAATTAATTTTCATTTATAGATGTTGACAAGTATGGGGAAACTGAGCAAAGTGTTTTTGTATGTTTCAGGTTTACAAGGTCTCAGAATTTCATAGTTACGACTAGCTGAGACTACTATAATACTGTGTTAATGTAGTCTCAGATTAGGGGTATTGAATTTTACACTTTTCAAATTTAGTATTATGTATCATGTTTATTTTGAAGGGCTATGGTGCAGAAAAAAAAACAGTCATTCCATTATGGTCGTATTATATGTTTTTGTGTGTGTGTAAAATTTCATGGATATGGAATATAATGGCGGAGAGAGAAAAAATTAAAAGAAACACACATTTACTATATTGAAAGTCGATTAAATTAACATAGACTTTAGTTATCTACTATGTACATGCTAGTTCTTTTTTTAGGGTGGGGGTGGGGGGCAACAGTCAAATACAAACGTTACCCCTTAAAGTTCATGTGGACCCTTTAGCTTAAATTGATGCATTTTCACCTCAAAATTTACTCATAGGACAGACAAACCTATGTATCTGGAAAAAAATTATGGCATGGCATGCTCTAGATAAATAAAATTCAAATACATTTTATGTTTTAGAAAAATAAAAACTTAACTGGATTTTGCAGTGAACTTTTTACATTCCTCCAGAAGGTGCCAAAATTAACGAAGTTAGGAAAGAGGTTTGAGAACTTCCCAAAGGTAATTTTTAAAATGAACTGTATTGATTGACATGGACAATAGAAGGACAATATATACCTGACAATAACTGGTGATTTAAACTATGTACCTGAGTGGACCATATCAAGTGAAACTCAACTGTTTGTTAATTTTATCATCTTCTGCAGGGACGAAATAAAAGTGTACAGCAAAATCCAGTTAAGTTTTAAATTTTCCAAAAGCATTTGAATTTTATTTATCTCGGGCATGATATGCCTTAAAACTTTTCCAGATGCACCGGTTAGTCTGTAGTCGGGAGTAAATTTTGAGGTCCTTTTAGCCAAAGGGTCCACATGAACCTTAAAAAGTTTTTTTTATTTATCTCCATGAAGCTTTCATGGTACTGTCAAATAAAAACTAAAGTTGTAGTGCGACATATCACAATTCGGTATCTGAACTCTCGCCTCCCTTCGTCATTTTCTTCAAAATACACATCTCTCTGCACATCATCTCAATTAAGTTCATTTATCACAGAAAAATAATAGATAAAAATAAAATATTATAGCACTACAGTGACTAGACTACACATGCAACAAGAAATCCTTTACCCACAGCAAATTCATCAAATTAAATCTTAAATTATATAGAAATAAAGACCTACCTTTAAACCGGTTAAACAAAATATTATATATGAAGTTGTTGACATTAAAGTTGTGTAACGATAAACATGTGTGTAAATACACGTGATTATCGTACTTCAAGTAACTGGTATCTTACTACCTAGCTAAAAGGTAACAATAAAAATAACAGGGAACGAGTATAATATTTACATAACAACATCGGGTCAGCTCGTTTGGATGAAAACGGCGTGGTTTAAAACACCAAAACAAAGATTTGTTTAATATTTTGCTTTATTTATCACAACTTGTTCTAGTTTTGAAAACCAAGTGGGCAAATATGAACAAGAGCCATAGCTTTATATAAACATTGAAAACAATAAAACTTACGAACACCATCAGAGAAATATGATATTTTCCCATATTAACTCATTTTCCAAGACAGTATTATAGCATATGTCATGACAGTTTACCGAGCGACTTTCACAATAAAAAACCAACAAAACTTTCAATGAAGACTTACAGGAAAAATGTTGGATGGATACCCCGTATCCTTTCTTTTCTATTATATGTGGTCCTATGTGGTAGAGTGGAATTTGATATAATTATGTTTAATTTTTTTTTGTAATTGTGTATGTACTGATGATTTGATTTCAATTGATATTTTAATGAATGTGATTGTATAGTCTCACAATAGTTTCAAATTAGTATTTTCTTACAGGGGCATTAGCTGTCAAATTCATCTTCACCGATTTGACTCAAATTATCATATTTGATTTATAACATACTAAAACGTATATCTAAATTACAAAAAGTCCAAAATAAACAATTAACAATGCATGGACTCGATAATATGTATCAACATTTCGTGTGTATTTTTGTCTAGACGTCATCTAATCAACCATCGAGATGACCTCCGAAGATTGCCGGCGGTCATATAACCCGATATAAACATAAATATAAATATAAACAGATATCGTCCACGTGCATATTTGATTTCAAATTGTAGGTTAAAAAGTATGTTTATCGTCGTTTTTACCTGTGTAAGAATCGAATCAGTCAACCAATTGATTCATCCTTGTTTCACTTTCAATGTTGACATTATTTTCCTTTTAAAAGCTGAATACATGCGTAACCCATCTCCAGCTAAGGGGTTAAATTAAAGGTCACACGAATACTGATTCAATGAGGTCGAATTATTCACTTGCGAGTGAATAATTCATCAGCGATGTTTCTTATTTTATTTTGACAAACCTGAACCAAATTGGTTGCTAAAAGCTTATTAGTATTTCACTATATCACTTTCTATAATTATTGAACAAAAACAAAATCATATTTTATTTTTTTTATCTCGAAGCTTATGCTATTAAATTTACTATTTTTATTTGATTACATTTGACTTGAAATAATATTCTTTTTAATTTCATTTGACTGTGTTTTATTTGAAAGTTGTACATTCCGTGTAAATAAATTGTTAAGTTCCATTTCATTTCAAGTTGTGTCTCTGTTCAGCCAAAATTTGATATCAGGTAACCCGATGATCGAATATGGACGAAGTACTAGCCACTACACGTCCTAGGAGATGTAGACACCGACCCCCTCCTGTTACAATATATTTTCAAATATTGTTAGTTGAATTTATTCAAATAAAATGAATTATGTTATTTTCTGTATATTTTCACATGTAGTAACAAATTGAATGATTTTCAATTTGCCCAGTATACATGTATATGGGTGCAGCATATTTTAGAAGAAAGAAAAAAAAGAATTGTGCAGGTGGTGTTCCAAGAGCTCATCACGTACAGGACATAAATTGACAATTACCGACTATACAGTGTGGGATTTTCTCATTGTTGAAGGCCGTACTGCTGCCTATAATTGCTTACATCCACTTCATTTGAATGTGGGTGGATAGTTGTCTCATTGGCAATCATACGACATCTCCTTATTTTAAATTAAACTTTTGATATACATTTTAGACTTTTAGTGCAGACGCTTTTTTTTTTTTTGCAAAGTGTAAAATTCCATTGCTGAATTGCTATAATTCGTTGGTTATTGCTGTATCTCGGAGAAACCTCTATTTTATTCTTAAGTCAATTGTGTATAATAATTCATTTCTCAAATTATTTCAATAGTCTAAGATATTCTACAGAGTATGCAAGATTTTGTAAAAATAACTGAGTGATTGGAGGAAGGAATCAGTGCATGGAGTGAGTCACTGACCTTCATGAATAATAAATACAATTAAATCACCATAAAATGCTAAAAGCTTAATGAATTATCAAAATACTAAATAATCCTAATCAAAAGATTATTATGGAGGAAAATAATATAAAACCGAAAGAAAGAATATTCTTATATATAAATGACATCTAAATAGTTAAACATTCATTTTAAAACCTTTATCCTTTTTAGCATCTGTGAAAATAGATTTTTATATAAAATAAAAGAAACTTGACTCATCAAACATACCATGCTTATAATTTTGTACGACAGAAGCGGGTTTCGTCTAAAAAACACCAAAAAAACTCACCAGTAACGCTCGAATAAAACAATTGAAAAGGCCAAATAAAGTACAAAGTTGGAGAGCATATTTATGTTTAATTTTGTTTATATATGTTTATTCTGTGGTCATATTATGAGGCCATATTTTAAACACTGAATACACCAGTTATAAACCATGATTTGATGTAAATATGAGTATTTATAGTGTTTTAGCCTTCAAATAAGCACGTCAGGTAAGAAAAGACTTGAATTATATGTTTTTTTTTATAATTTAATTAGTTGTTTGCTTATTTTGCTTACTAGACTTTGCTAAGTTGCTGCATGTAGTTATTTTAATGCTTTGAAGTATAATTTTGTATGAAATTAGAATATTTATTACCAATAAGTTTATGAGATGCATAAACAAATACATGTAAGAAACAAGTTTCATTTGAGTCTTGATGCAGAAAATACAGATGTATAAAATAAGAAGATGTGGTATGATTGCAAATGAGACCCCTCTCCACCAGAGACCAAATGACATAGAAGTTTACAACTATAGGTCACCGTACGACCTTCAACAATGATCTGATTACAATCTTATAAGGGTCTATGTAATACTGATTAAACTGAAATTAATGAGTGGTATCACTGATGCAGTTATTGCTACCTGAGTATCTATGTGTGAACATTTTCCTGAACTTTTGTGTCTATATTTTAATGTACAATTTGTGTCTATAAAAATAAGAATATGTGGTACTATTGCCAATGAGACAACTCCCAACAAGAGACCAAATGACACAGAAATTAACAACTAAAGGTCACCGTACGACCTTCAACAATGAGCAAAACCCATACCTCATAGTTAGCTATAAAAGGCCCCAAAATGACAAATGTAAAATAATTCAAACGAGAAAGATTTATGCACAAAACACTGAACGAAAAAAAAAAATGATATGCAACAACACACGACAACCACTGAATTACAGGCTACTGACTTGGGACAGGCACATACAGAATGTGGCCGGGGTTTAATACAATGTATGTTTGCGGGCGACCAACCCTCCCATAACCTGGACACTGGTGTAACAGCACACTATATGAACAAACTATAAAAATCAGTTGAAAAGGATTTAACTCATCAGATCGATACATGATAATGACCATATATTAGTTTTACTTAAAATGTTGTGTAGTGCTAAGTACTAGTACTTGTTTCATATGGGATGTCAGAGTTATCTTTCTTTTCACCAAGTATTTATAGTATTTTGTAGTTGATAATAATCTGAATCCTCTACTAATAAAGAATCTATTTATTCAACCGCTGTTCAATAGTCATAAATCGACGAAGCGAAAACAGATCCGGGTCACAAACCAAAACCGAGGGAAACACATCAACTATAAGAGACAACAGAAACACTGAACTGCTACAAAAACAAACGCCAACATACATAGAAACGGATTATTTGATAACAACTGCCATATTCCTGACCTGGTACAGGATATTTGAAGAAAAAAATGATGGGTTGAACCTGGTTTTATGGCTAGCCAAACCTCCCGCTTATATGGCACTGTTAAAAATACCGCTAAAATGACAACATTACGTGACAGGATTACAGTACAAATAAATGCAAGAACACTCAGGACAGAGAAATACATAAATAAATAATATAATAGTACATTATAACATGTAAACCACAGAATAAAAACGGACACCTCCCATGAATTTACGACAGTACACCAGAACACCACAATAGAATTATAAACTGTGCGTCACACGAATGTATCAACGCCACAAAAAGTGACGTATTTTTTATGACCGTTTATTCTATCCCAGTTAAATTTCTAAAAATAGAATATAAAATTGGGATTGAGTTTGTAATGGTGTTTTTTTTAATGTATTTTCTAACAATGACAAGAATTTTAAAATGGAATTGTGTTTGCAATGGTGTTATTATTTGTATTTTCTAACCATGTCGGTCTAAGTTATTTGATTCTTTGTCCTTATAGTTTCATTACAAAAGACGAAAATGAAGATATTGAGACGAATTTTGGACGGCACAAGAAACTTACAAAATGATATTGGGTGTTTTCTGGAAATCCTTCAATCTGAAGACATTAAATATTCCACGTTCATCTTTTTTCGTCTGTCTCTGCATTTTCCCGGGTTAATAGAAACCATGTGAAAGATAGACGGATGATAGTAAGTATCAACTACCAATCGACAATGTCTTTAAAATGAAAGAAAAATAAATAAAACTCCAGACAATAAACGAGGCAGTTTAAGTTTGGTTTGGGTGGTTTGACAGTAAAGTTTAAAATGAATCTTCGTTGTCATTCAAATGTTGAGAGGAGCGGGGGACCTGTAGCTGGTATTAAAGCAAAACGCTTTCCGATTACTTAAAGCTTAAGTCTAATCTAACAACTGGCACGCATATATCATAATTTCTTAATGTTTTCTAACTTTGATATGCGAATATCTACAAGTGATTTTAACCGAAGTTTTCAGTTATTAAGAACATTCTACCCCAGAAATATATTACCTTGGCCGTATTTGCCATAACCTGTCGGAATTTTGAGTCATCAATGCTCTTCAACATCGTACTTTATTTGGTCTTTTTAACCTTTTCGATTCGAGCGCAACTATCGAGTCTTTTTGTAGACGAAACGTGCGTCTGGCGTACACAATTTTAATTCTGGTATCTGTGATGAGTTTATTTACAACCACATGGTCGATTTCACTGCTGGTGGAGGACCCCCCCCCCCCCCCCCCCCCATGTTTCACAGATTGTCCGCCAAAGAATGAGTTACAAATGTTACATCCAAACTAGTTATTTTAAATCGTTAATGTATAATAACAGCCTGTAGGGCTCTGTTTAATTATTTTATATTCTATTTGAATTGATGTCGATATAATACTAACAAAAATCAAATTATAGAGATCTGCGGCAATATTATTTTACATAGACATATTTAGATACATTTTATTCAATTTTTCCAGTTTTAGATGATTGTTTTTTAAAAGGAAGCTTTCGAATAAGATATCAGAAATATATTTTTCAATATTTAGAATATATTTTGAGTAATGTTGACAAAAAAACCTTCAAGTAAGTTTGCATTACAGTTGACAAATTTTCCGTTTTTCTCAGTGTTTTTGGAGATTTTATGATTTTTTTTAATGTTTTTTCCTCAAATTATTAGCTTAATAATTTTTTGATATGGACTTTTGTTAGCTTCCTCATATACACTCATGTTTGTGGTGTTTCAAATATAGTTACATTAGACAAATTATTCAGCTTCCTCTTTTCGGAGATTTTATAATAAAAATCTTAGTATTAACATCAAACCACTTACTTAATAGTTTTTGGTAATGAACTGTAAAAAATTTATCAATTTCCTTATATACAATATCTTGTTTGCGATGTTTCAAAAATAGCTACGTTTGACAAATTTTCCGGTTTCCTGTTTTCGGAGATTTTATGATATAAATTTTAGTTTTCATCTCCAAATTTTTATTTCTGGTAATTAAATTTTATCATTTCCTTTGTGCAATCATGTTTGTAATGTTTCAAAAAAAGTTACATTGCAATAAAAAATGTTGCTTCATTAAAGACATTAATATTAAAATTTCTTAATTTTCATTGATTTTTTTAATTGAAAAACGACGAGTTTAACCCAAAATCATCAATGTAAACCATTGTTATCTATTATCTTGGTGGACATGTTGAAGGCCGTACTTTGACCTAAAATTGTTGACTTTTTACACATTGTGACTTGGATGGAATGTTGTCTCATTGGCACTCATACCACATCTTCTTATTTCTAAGTATATCAAATATGATCACACCCTTGACACAAACACACTTGAGTAGTTGTCAGCCTGCTATTCAGAACAAATGTAAAAAGTTTCCATACAGACGAAACAAAAGAATCTCAATGTTAAAAAAAACGGCCTCACAAAAGATGAATGGTTGGTGCCTTACAACTTTTTTTCTGATCGTCATGATTGTGGTACATCATCAAGTTAATTCAAATTATATGCTGTATGTACCTAGATATTTTTTCATATTTCAAAAGTTAAATACACAAATGAATCTCAATGTTAAAAAACCGGCCTCACAAAAAATGAATGGTTGGTGCCTAACAACCTTTTTTCTGATCGTCATGATTGTGGCACACCATCAAGTTAATTTTAATTATATGCTGTATATACCTAGATATTTTTTTTTCATATTTCAAACTTTAAATACATACACAAATGAATCTCAATGTTAAAACACCATCCTTACAAAAGATGAATGGTTGGTGCCTTACAACCTTTTTCTGATCGTCATGATTGTGGCCCATCATCAAGTTAATTTTAAGAGCTTTTGATATTGCCATTTGATTAAGGACTTTCCATTTTGAATTTTCCTCGAAGTTCAGTATTTTTGTGATTTTACCTTTTAATGTATGTACCTAGATGATCTTTTTCATATTTCAAACTTTAAATACATACAATGTATGTTCATCAGTGTATAACTTGAGGAAGTAAATATTCATAAGAAACGTAATTTCCCTTACGATCTCACGGAAAATAAAATACGAAACGTTTGACTTGCACAATTACGTATATGAGAGATACTGAATGTGAGTACATGTATATTTATTATATCTGTCCGGAAAGACGTTCTGAAAATATTTTGAATTTGTTTTGATAGCCAATCTTTAACAGCCGATGCTAGATTTCAATATATGACATAGTGAAGTTTGGATATTTTCGTATATTGAGTTACATGTAATGATAAGAAGACCTGATATCATAAAATTTCGTTATGCTCATATTAGTAAAGGAGTTACGGTAGATCTGAATTTTGATCAGATTGGACTTCCACACTTAAGAGCAATGTTTAAGGACTTGAACAACTAAAGGTCACCAGTCTGGTCTATTTTTTTAATCACAACCCATGAATTGATTAAACATGCCGAAAACAGAAAATAACAATTGTATTTATTTATTTTTTGGCCCATTATTCTTCAATATGTTGTCGATATGAAGGACACTTTAAATATATATTCATGTGTCATATTATCAATTATGTGCAGGTAAAAAAAAAGACGAAAATGATTAGTTTCTGAAATTTTGTACAAATTTCCTTTGGACATAGTATAAATTAATGCCTTCTTGTGGTGTTTATGAAGTTTGTGTATCGAATTTACTCAGAAGAACAGTGGTCGATATTAGAGTATAAGTCCAGAAGGCATAATTGACCGCTATATGTCTTTTGGATACTTGTGATTACCTGCTGCTTTATTATTGACACATACCAATAGATATAAGAAGATGTGGTATGAGTGCCAATGAGACAACTCTCCATCCATGGTTATCAGCATGATATATCATGATAATTACTTTGAGCTTGTTTATGTGCCTGTACGAATTCAGGAACCAGTGGTGTCATTATTTATATTTGTCGATTATTTTGTCCTGCAACGAATATAAAATAAGGGGATGTAGTATAATTGCCAATGATATAACTATCCTGCAAGCAGAGACCAAATAGCAACTATATGTCGCGATACAGCCTTCAACAATGAGCAAAACCCATAACGCTTAGAAAACTATAAAATGCCCTGACATTACAAAATGTAAAACAATCCAAATGAAAATTATATACAACAACAAACGACAACCACTACATTACAGCGACTCATTTCACAAAAAATCTTACGAGAAAAATACTCGTAAGTCATGAAAATTTCAGTATAACTTACGATAGATTTTTATCGTTGGATTTTTTGTGAAAAGAGCCCCTGGCTCTTGACATCAAGTTGCGAAAGGAATGCGACAGGGATAAACATGCGTTGGTTTTGATTGGAGTCTTTGGTACTCAAAGTTGCATACAACAGTCATCTCTTTTTACTCAAAAATTAACTTAAATTCTCCCTCGTCATGCTCGTCCATTCCTTTACCACAATTCTTGGTATAATAAATAAAACAAAATTATAGTTATATGTTTGGTTGCTCGCAGTAACTTCTTTTTTCTAGCAAAAATGTTTAATAACATTATAAACCAATATTCTATATAACAACAATATACAATTTTTTCATACAAAATGTCCAATACATTTTAATGAACTGAAATCAAACTAATATTATAATCATACATTAATATGCGAAATTAAACGGCGAACTGACTGACTGTCGTAGTTACTTTGAGCCTCTTCGATAAACTGACACCCAAACAATTGCATAACGGAACCCACCTTTTAAACTACTTAAGTATTTCACGTTCATATATTACCAATATATATTTATATCCAAAAAAAAAAGAACTCGTTATACAACTACTATAAACAGTTGAGAACATTTAAATAGTATAACTCATAGCACAGGAAAAACCCAAGTCTCAACGAAAAGAAATTCAATTACTGATCCAAAAGGTTGTAAGAGAGGTAATTTGATCAATACTATTGAAAAGGGTATAAAAGCACGTGATGTGCACATGGAAAACATATCATTTGTTTTTTTTTACCTTATATTTCTATTTTTGTATAAATTGATCTTCCTTGTTGGCCTCAACAGGTAAGAGTTTTATTTTAGATTTTTAGATTTTTATATAAAGTCCCCGATCATTTATATAGAGATAAAACCATTTCCAATGTATTTATTTCACAGCTTGATCATTTTCAAATTGTCATTCAATTCAATTTTTACTCAAATTTATTGTTTTAAAGGTTCATATGCGTCTTTTGAAGTCTTGTCTTATCTGCAAAACGTGAAAGTAAATGATTCATAAACTTGAAACATTACTTTAAAATTCCGATGGATTCCGTCGAGAATTATCCAAGATAATGCACAAGAAGTGAAAGAAAAGACCAATGAGGTAGGAGCGTAAAAGGGGGGGGGGGGGGGGGGGGTGGTATCTGCACGGAAGAACGCGAAATAAAATTGCCATTTCACGATGAACGAACAATTAAAAAATTTCTTGCACGTTGATCTTTTTACCGATTTCACGAAACACGGTGAATAACGAACCTTTTTCACGGCTGCACGTGAAATAAAAATGGCAAAACACGTTGCACGAAAATAACCCTTTACCACCCTCCTTGAAAAGACTAAAATACTCCGCCGACCGATTTGTTAAAGGTTGCAGGCCAGTGATTGTTATTATAATTAAAAAAAAAAAAAAAAAAAAAATGAACATGTCTTCAAACGCCCAAATGTTGCGTCATGGACAACCCTTAAAGTTGCCCGTGGTTGACATACCCCGTGCTGCAATCGAAAACATACTTAGGAGGCGACCATTTGCTGTTTGGGGTGTATAAATACTAATGCACGTTCGATCGAAATATGGTTGTTGAATCCGTAGCCCTGTGTTCGGAGTGTCAAACTCTCTGAAGAGAAGAACCCATACAATTTGGAATAGTTGGGATTTTTATACTATTGAACTCAGATTTAGTGTCATTTTTTTCTCATCCTGAATAGGTATGAAATCAGTAGCGTAGCAGTAGACTTAAAAGTGTGTGCGTTTGTGTGTATGTGTGTGGGGGGGGGGGGGTCAAATTTCTGAAAGTGACAAGCAAAAACATTAGCCCCTGAAATGTTTGCCAATAGACGTTAAGCAAATAATCAATTATAGTAAGTCATACATTCATTACAAATATTTAATTGTCCCATCAGACAAGTGTTTAAACAATCTCGTATTGCGTGTTAATCGCATTATATCCGCCAAAAGTTAAGCACCACCTATTTTTATTCCATCGAAATTTTTTTCATTTAAAAAAATCAGTTAATCCTCGAAAAAGAGAAAATATTCATGTAGCAATTTTGCTAACATATACCATAAACAAACCGTAGACTTAAGTTTGTTCACGTATGCAGGTTCTATGAATTTGAAATTTGCGTTCATAGAAATAGTGAAAATTACACAAATCAGAAACGGAATTTAAGTTTCACTTTGATTTTATTTTTTACAACAATTAATCACCCAATATCATTAAAAGTCTCTACAAATAATTTTTGGTATGTTCGGCAAATTTAATGTCAATATTTGAGTCAATAGAATGTGTAACACCCTCTCTTCCGGTACAGTTCATACTCTGTACAAGCCTTCTGAACTTTAGTTGAGCAAATTTATTCCATTCAGCAACAACTGCGCTTCTTAAATCGCTAAGATTTTGCAAAGATGGATCTCTGCGATTGAGATTTCTGCCAATGGCATCCCAGACATGTTCGATAAGGTTCATGTCTGGAGACATGGAAGGCCAAAAGATAGTGTCAATGGCTTCTTGCTCTTTGTACTCTTTGTACTCGGTTACAGTCCTTGCCATGTGTGGTCTAGCATTGTCGTACATGCACAAGGGTCTTGAAGCAAGTGGAGGATTATCAAAATGAGGGACTACAATGTTTCTAAGCACAAAATCCCTGTATGTCTGTCCGTTCATGTTACCCTGCAGAATATGCATACTCACCTTACAACAGTATGAGAAGAAGCCCCATACTGTAACACCACCAGCAACGTATGAAGTCGTTGGGCAAATGTTGTTTTGATCATTAGCAGTTTTATTTCCACGACAAACTCGTATTCTGCCGTCTATTGGTCGTAACAGAAACTGACTCTCATTTGACCAATGAACATTTTGCCAGCTTCTCATGTTCTAGCGTCGATGGTCATTAGCCCTTTGAAACATGATTATACGGTGCCTGGCTGTTAGGGCAGGTCTCTTGACAACACGACGTGCTCTTATGTAGTCTCTATGAAGTCGACGGACCAATGTTCGAACACTAACATGACCACCTTGACGCCAGTGGTGTCTAAGTTGTGGGGCAGGAGTAAATGGGTTGGCTTTAGCACAACCAATAAGGAGTCTGTCATTACGATCGGTAGTTAAACGGGGTCTTCCGGACCTTGCATGGTCTATCATTTACAGTTCCTGTGTCAACATGACGTTGTAAAAATCTGACAATGACGGTGTGTTTAACATTGAAATGGTTACCTATGCATCTAGTGCTCCTACCGACATTTGACATGTCAATTGCTTGTGAAGGTTCAGTCACATATAACTTACCTCTTGCCATATTTCACAGTGACTTGGTGAAGGTCAAATTTCACCTGTACGCGTGACAGTAGGAAGATGATTTAAAGGCATCGAAACAGTGTATTCGAAAAAGTGCAGATGACCTTTAATAAAAAATTGCTTGGCGTATTTATCGGAGTTTATTTTTTTTTGGTCGTAATGAATTTTCTTAGTGTATGTTATAGGCAATTCATAACACCAAACATAAATATTTTTTTCGCAATAGTTAAAAAAATATTGCCAGTTATATTTAGGTGGTGCTTAACTTTTGGCGGACTGTATATAAAGTGCTTGATAAGTACTTATCAATTTACATGAAAATCCAGCATATACCGTTTCCTGTATATTCCTTCTCTCTACTGGATACTAACTACATAATTGTTCTGATATTCAACGTTATGATTTCAAATTCAAATTCGTTTACTTTATTTTTATAATCACAGGTCCCTTTAAGGAATTACTCATTTTGACAATATCGTTCACACTTTCATACAATTCTTTTTCGCTCCGCTCACTCTGAATATGTAAATTAGGTACAGCACAATAAAACTTACATAAAAGTCATCATTGCATCACTGGTGATATGAACGGTTCGGTAAACATTTTCCAAACACCTTTCATTTATGGTATCAGCAATCAAAGCGAGCTGCAAAGATACTGTGAAACTATCTACTCATGGATCTAGACAGAAGATGATTCTAAAAAATCAAAAGACCTGTTGGATTATACACAATCAGCATTCCTCTCCTTGACTCCCCTGTACTGATTTAAAAACGAACTCCTTATTTAAAACTTATTAAAATGGAAGAACAAATCAAACTTTGTATCATTAAATATATTGGATAACGTAGAAATCTTTATTGGACATAATCATCAAAACGAATGATTATAAAAAATAAGAAGATGTGGTATGATTGCCAATGAGACAATTCTCCACAGGAGACCACATGGCTCAGAAATTTTACAACTATAGGTCACCATACGACCTTCAACAATGAGCAAAACCCATACCGCATAGTCAGCTATATGATTAAAATTGAGAATGGAAATGGGGAATGTGTCAAAGAGACAACAACCCGACCAAAGAGCAGAAAACAGCCGAAGGCCACCAATGGGTCTTCAACACAGCGAGAAAATCCCGCACCCGGAGTCGGGCTTCGGCTGGCCACTAAACAAAAATGTGTACTAGTTCATTGAAAATGGGCGTCACACTAAACTCCAAAACATATAAATGAACTAAAATTAAAAAACATACAAGACTAACAAAGGCCAGAGGCTCCAGACTTGGGACAGGCGCAAAAATGCGGCGGGGTTAAACATGTTTTGTGAGACCTCAACCCTCCCCTATACCTCTAGCCAATGTAGAATAAACAAACACACAGCAATACGCACAGTAAAACTCAGTTTAAAAGAAGTTCGAGTCCGATGTCAGAATAGGTAACAAAAGAAACTAAGCAAAATGACAATGATACATAAATTAACAAAGGACTACTAGCAGTTACTGACATGCCAGCTCCAGACCTCAATTAAACTGATTGAAAGATTATGTCTTCATCATATGAAAATCAAGCACAATCATTATCTTTTTGATCACATGTTTGTTATATTTGGTTTGACAGATAGTCGGCGTTCCTGTGAAATTTGGTCAAGAATTAGCTGTTACATTTGGTCAAGTGTTACGGTTACAGAATGTACATGTACCGATGCTTTTTAGTTTGGTAATACCATCATTTATCAGCCCGGCATTGAGAATTGATGAACTGATGCTTTATTACTAAACGATCTTGACTTACCATTGGATTATATCATGAATATCATAACTAATGTAACTATAGTAAAGAGAGAAATTGCTTACTCTTCTGGAGCAGCAAAGTTCAACCTAATTTTTGGTTGAGTTCTTTTAAAATAATCAAATTTATTGTTTGTAACATTCATCATATAGGACAGGGAGAGAAAGAAAGAAAGAAAGAGATGTTTAATATATTAGAATATTTCTTATATATTTGTTTATTAATATTTATAGAAATATGGCAGAGGTCAGTCATTGTGCTGACTGTATTAGATCTGACAAGAAGTCGAATGCAACAGAATGGTGCCAAAACTGTTCAGAAAAGATTTGCTTAGCGTGCTCAAGAATTCATCGCCAGTTTATACCTCCACACAAAGTTGTGCGCACAGAAGAAGTTGCTAATCTTCTAAGCTCCATCACAAAAGAATCCAAATTCTGTGAATATCATCCAGATGAAAAGGCTGTTTTATTTTGTTGTCAGCACGATTCAATAATATGCAGTCTATGTGTACATCAGACGCATCAAAATTGCGATCGTATTATATCCATTGAAAGAGCATCAAAGGGTGTTAAGTCTGCCACAGCATTAGAGGACATAGAGAGACGAATTAAGCATATACATGAAGTAATGTTAAGAATTTCAACTGAATTAAAAAATTCACGCTCCCGCCTAATTGACAAAGAAGAAAAAATCAAATCAACTGTTAAAGATTTCCGAAAAAAGGTTAATGAATATTTCGATAAAATTGAAAGAGAACTTATTGAAGAAATGGATAAAATATGCAATCATTGTCAAACAAGTATGAGTCAACAGATATCAAAATTAGAAGCAGAATGTGCAGAATTAACAGGTTATAGTGATATTATTTCAGATCTGAAAAAGCAAGGATCTGAAATTAATTTGTTCCAGACAATTAAGATGTTAGACAGAAAAACACATGAGCAGGAAATACATATTCAAGAGCGAGCGACAGTCTATAATACATTCGAATTTTTGCCGCTGGAAAAGCTTACCGAATTTAACACAACTATTCCGTCATTTGGAAGTGTACATTGCACAACTGAACCATTAATAATACCGTCCATTATGCAAACTGAACAACAAGGCCAATATCCTGCTCATCCTGTGAACCATAAAATTCAAATGATTTCAACATTGAATATGGAGAAGTTACCGGGTGAAAATTTAATAGTTTTAGAGTCACGTTTTTTACCAGAAGGAAACATAATTCTATGTTTTATGAATAAAAAATTTGTTCTCGTTTGCAAAATTGACGGGTCTGGTTTAGAAAAATTAGAATTAGATTATGAACCAAAAAGAGTAGCAGTGGTCGATAGCAAAAGGGTCTATACTTTAAATGAAAAAGGTATAGATATGATTCTACTGAAACCATTGGAATCGGGCAAAGAAATCCTACGAAGTGGTAATTTATATGCAATATCGTGCTCAAAAGACCTTATTTGTGTAAGCAGCCACCTCAAGTTAACATTAGTTAATATTGATGGCCAAATCATTCGAGAAATGAAAATTAATTTCGATCCAAGGGACATCTTCCTATGTGAAGACCGACATATTTACTGCTCCCTTGCTATACATCCTATCATTAACGTTGTAGATCCGAACGGAAAATCTAGATACTTCCACCGTGATAAATATCTTTTGAATGCAATAGGCATTGTTGTCAATGATAATGGTGACGTGTTTTCATGTAGCAGTAAATACAATTGTGTCTTTAAGATTTGTCAAGATCGAAGTAAAAGCACCGTGATTTTAAATGTGGCAGATGGTGTTTCTAATCTTACTGGGTTTGATTTCTGCATTGAGTCGAAAGAGGTCTTAGTCATAAGTAATAATGGCAAATCTGTCAGTATTTTCAAAAGCCGAACTTAAGGGAAGATAGAATACAACAGTTACCAAACCTCACCACTTTTACCATTAAAAGGAAGTGTCATCGAATCAAGTGCACGTAGAAAATAATGAAGTATTATAATTCATTATTTATTAAACAACGTTCATCAACATTGTCTTATGAAATGAGTTTCGTTTCAGTAAATTGAAAAATCATGTACAGAATAACAGAAAAAAACGGGCGTGTGTACGCACAAGAAACACAGTCGTGAGAGGACACAAAATGTGTGTCCTGTATTCATCCGTCCTTCCTCTAAAGGAGTACATTCATTATTCACCCAAATTCGTCTTCTCCATGAATCAAGGTAGAATGTGTTATCTTGTAAAATACCTACACATACTTCTATTGAACCAGTTTCAGGATTTTTATTATTATGCACCAAAATGACGAATGGTAAAATTGAGTCAATTTTGTGAAAATTTAAATATACAGTGCACTGTTTGTCCTCTCATGTCCTCCTATAGATTTTAGCTACAAAGTTTATGCACATACTGAAGGTGTTCCTATTGTTACGATTTTTAGTTAAGTGAATAAATGATCATTAACAAAAGAGGAGCATTTGAATTTTGTAGCCCTTTTGAAAGAACACGTGCACTGATTGTCCACTAAACTCCGCAAACAGTTGTCCATAAAGAAGGTTTTTTTATTTTGCGGATAACATATTTAGAAACATGTTATATCTTTTGTCTTTTGCAATTTGTGCACTAGTGTTCACTCGACTTTTACAGTTGTTTAAAATTTTGCAGAATGTATATACACATCATAATGATGAGCACATTGTCAAGATTTTTATTTTACTGAATTATTAACAGACTCAGAATAATTTAACTTAGTCAATTTTGGCTAAATATTTCATATAAGGTACACATTTTATCCGCTCAACTCTTGCAGTTTCCAACAATGGCTTGCAGTTAAAAGCAACTGTTGTTTATAGAAGGAACATGCAGTATATCGTTTTGATCATTTTTTCATTTCTTAATAAAAATTCAAACACATTTTGCAAGCTTATAAAAGAGAATGGTGACGTATGTGAACATCGCGATTTACGGATTTGAATTATCAGTCATAAGCAGCTGCATATAAATCGATCAATAGTACCATAAGCACTCTTAACCAGGGATTTTTGTTTGAATGACAACATTTAAAAAAGTATTCTGCTGGAGATGTGGATGCTAAGACAATAAAGATCTGTTACAGTACAGTATAATTCTCTTTCCTCTTGCATTAGTATAAACACATTTGACGTCTTTACCGTTACACTTCTATACCACATTCTAACTTTTGATATAAAAGTAAGGAGATTTGGTATAATTGCCAATGAGACAACTATCCACCAAATGAAGTGGATGTAAGTAATTATAGGGACTGTAAGACCTTAAAACATTGCCTGTCAAGAAATTCCAGTTTCGCCGTCGATTGAAACTGTACAAGGGACAAATAAATGTAAATAAAAAATATTTCTATATTCATATACAAAGTTGGAACACAACATTGAATAAACTATTTAATAAAACCAAACAAGGCAGTATAAAAGTTTGGCGCGTATTCAGGATATCTCTTTTAACAAAACTAATAAACCAAGAAATACGTTCACCCAATCAAATATAATTATGATATACATACTAACATTCATCAGTGTACACAATGACACCAATGCTGTTTTAACTGATAACAATCTAATAGGCTGTTTTCATCAAATTAAGCTTTTTTGTCTAAATGAATGAATGCTGTTAAATGTGTCAGCCTAAAAATCATTCGGGCTTCTTCCCTTTACTAGCCCATGGAATTTGCACATGGTTCAATCGCTTTTATACCTACAATCAACAACACTTGTAACGAATACCAAATGTCCGTAAGTACTTGGCATCCGTTTTTCTTCTTCTTGTGATAGCAAGACGGTATTTTCTAGTGTACGCAGGTGACCCGAATGATGCACAATTAAACGCGATGTATAATTCCGTATTTTATTTCAAAATTATATGACATCAACTATATAGAGTTCGTGCAATTTTTGTTTAACGTATTTCATTGTTAATTCGTATTCGTTTTATCGAAAACGAAGGTTCCATCTCCCTCGGGCAAAGTTGACCTTACAATTAAGTTATTTTTTTTATGTCCTTTTTGTCACATCTTCTACCGTATCTAGATATTTAGACATCCCAGGCTTTCAAATTTTTGGATTGGTTCCTAATGCAGATAAATCATGAAAAGTGCTCCGGACATGCGAAATTCATAAAGTGTTATTTTAAATTCTATTGTAGGGTACACACCCATTGGAAATATGCAAATGTCAAATCTGATAATGTTTGGAAGAATGGAGGAAATATGGAAAAAAGTCCATAAACGTTAACACAGATCTGTTGATACGATGATGCGATTTTTAGCACTCCGAAAGTGTTAATGACACGCGATGTTAGAACTTTAATTATTAAAATAAATGTTTATTTTACCTTGTAAAACTGTTTAAATTGGACAAGAATTTGCACAAACTATGTTCTTCTTGGAAATTAACATTATTACAAAACATTTTAAACTGAATGAAAATATCTGATATGTGTGATGGCCGGATGCGGCTATTTCCTGTTGAAAATAAATGGTTTTCGTTTCCGATATAATAATAGTCGCAAAACACGCCAATTGGCCACACAGACATGCTAAATGATGTAGTTTTTTTAATTAATTACTAATTGTTTCAGTTAGTAAGTTAAAACCTACATGAAACGATAACTATGTGTGCGTCTCTGTCGTGTTATTACTAGTTACGTGATTTTGATAGTACACCTGGGGGAAAAAAGAAAGAAAACGCACGCACACAAGCACACACAGGCACACATTTTGACAAAATTACTTTGTTATAGAATTACTTTTGCTAACAGAAGTGTCAAGTTTGAGTTGTCATGGCTTTGCTTTCTATGCCTCTCGCGATCTTTTTAAAGAAAAAAAAACCGACAATTGTTCTGTGGAACTAAGATATAACCACAGCAGTTACAGCACAGATAAAACTGTTGAATAAGCTTGCGAAGCAGTGGTTGACAGGAAATTCGACGTGACCTGTCCTATCAACTGTAGTATAACTAATGAAATGTGAGTTGTAAGTTGATAGAACTTGGGGGATAAAAAATTGTCATTTAAAAGACTGACCAGTGATAAACAATGCAATGAATGGCCATTGCTCAGATTATATATGAGAAAAAAAATATATATATGAGCTGAGTAATCCCCCAAGTTGTAAGATATTAAGTGAGGTGGAATTCAAAAGGGGGTATAAAGTGAGCCATCAAGTCGCATGTGGCAAAAATGTAAAAGAGAGAGAGAGAAAAACAAAATGAATATACAAAATATGATGCACAATAACATAATTGTAAAGTTTAAATGTATCTAGAAAAATAAAACAGCAACTCGTCACATGGCTGAATATTAAGAAAACTATAAAGTTCACATGTGTTACTTTTCACGTTCCCTGCAGGCTCTAAATTGAAATACGCATTTCTCGGCAAAAACTCAACGATACAAGTTCCGTAAATTACAGTAAAATATAAGTCCGCATGTATCAGGGGAAAAAAGCAACTCTTCGAACGGCTCAATATTCTATGAAATCGGTTAATTCGAATTCAAATAATTGTCACTATAGATAAAGCTTAAAGTTAAAATACATTGTTTCTTCTGCTAAACGATATTGTATAAAGATATGTCCAAGTGTCCACTCTTCGAATGGCTGAATACTTCATAACAAGTAAAATTAATTCACATAAAAGTTCAATTATGGTCAACAAGTTCACAGCTAAAGTACATTGTTCTTTGGTAAAATGACATACATTCAAGTTCGATAATATCCAAATATCAAATATGACTCAGATATTATTAGACAATGTCAAAGACTTCTGTGCTTTTCGAATCGTGTCCTTGGAATTACGAATATAACGACAATAACTGTCTGATGTCCACCGACCAAGTGTTTTCAAATTGATAAGATGATCTTGAATATGAACAGATCCTGCCGATGTACTGGCACCAATTCTAAAGGAATAACCATTGTAAAAGCTTGAGTTGTACCCACAAATATGTAGTACATGTCTTAGACTTCTGATGAAAAAGTCCCTGTCTAAAGCGCTGACAAACAATGGATCTGAAAAACAAAAAAGATGCTTCTCTACCCTTCCTGATTGCGATATACTTTTGAACAGCAGAGAAAGGACAAATGGTATGATCGGATTTGTGAAGCTGTATACTGACACCTTTACGAAAAGGGTCTGTCTTTGAGGTTTTAAGGTGTAGAATAGCATTAGAATCGAGAATCTCAACATCCGTTACACTTAGATTTACAGTAGAATCAAAATGTTTTGAAACTGTAAATTCACCACACCTAAGAAATCCAAAAAAGGGTACTGTACAAGCCGTTTCTAACATACAATCAGCAAATTCTCCCAAGTACCTGAAAAGTAATAGGAAGACGTGGTTTTGGATTATGCTCTCCTTGTATACGTTTGACGGCGCGCATTACCATATTGAGTCTATAGAGTGTCGATTCATTTGTATAATCAAACGGATGGTCACAGTTACTTTGGATATAATAAAACCGAATTCCACATAAATACAATTTAATGGTTGTATGTAAAAGTCTCGAGTTTTTGTAACAATATGCGACAAAATAAATCAAAATATCCTCAGAAATCGGAGGCATGGGTTTACCTAACCAGACAACCCCGTTGCTAGCAAGAAATGCAGTATAAGCTCGATATCCAACTTTATAAGTCTGAGATGTTCTAGTTGATAACACATGTCGCAATAAATCCGACACTGTAGACTTTAATGCCACATTACTCGGGAGACTGGCGGGCACTTGTGAGGTACTTTGTCTGCTAAAGGTGCAAGGATCTTGAAACGCTCTAGCTGTAAACGTGAAAGAGAGTCACTGATATTATTCTAAACTCCAGGAACGTGTTCGGCGCGAAACAAAAATTATTTTTACAGGCATACAAAGTAAGAGTTCTCATAAGTTTCATTATCAATAAACATCTGGAACGACCTTTATTAACAATATGTACGGTGGCTTCATTGTCACATCGAAATAAGATCTTTTAGTAGTCCATGAATGACCCCATAAGATGGCTGCAACGACTATAGGATAGAGTTTTAGAAAAGCCATGGAATATTTCTTTTCACATGGAGAATATAAATCATCCGGCCAAGGAGAGCAAAACCATTTCCCCTTGAAATAACCACCATAACCAATGGTAGAAGCCGCATTTGTATATAATTCGATATCCCTAACACTATTATAGTCAGAATCATAAAACATGTTAATGCCATTCCAGTTTACCAAAAACGAGTACCAAAAACGCAAATCGGTACGACATTCATCGGTCAAATAGATTTTGTCTTTGAGAACCTTGACAGTTGTTGATAAAGGTATTAGGTATGAAACAAATGAACGATCCGGAATTATAACCCGCATGGCAAAATTTAATGCCCTAACAATTGTAGAAGTTCACGTTTAGTACAATATTTTCTGTTTAAAAACTTCTTGATAAATTCACTGATGCTACTTGTTTTATCTAAAGGCAATCGGCTCTCCATCTTTTCCGTATCAAGTATAATACCCAAATATTCAATAACTGTACCAGGGCCAACAACCTTGTGTTTAGCCAGTGGAATATTAAGTCTTTTAAAAAGAGTAGTCATTAATGCCATAGTTCTCTCTGCGCAAGAATCTGGTTTATCTATAGTCAAGAAATCGTCTAAAAGGTAAAATATATATTCAATTTTGTAGATATTAGTAGCAATCCAACAAATTGCTCTGCATAAGTTATCGAAAATAATTGGCGAGCTCCTACAACCAAACGCTAGTCTATTAAAGAAATAGTATTCTTTACACCATGTAATGCAAAATAAATGCCACTGGTCCTTTCTAATACCTAATTGTTTGAAAGCGGACTCTATATCGAATTTTGAGCACATTGAAAAAAAAACTAATTTTTGTATAACTTTGATCGCATCG